TTCTATTTGAGCAGCACTGTAACATGGACAGCACTGATTAATCAGAATCCATTTAGACTGTCCTGTCAGTGAAAAGAAAAAGCCAGTGGGATTTCAGATCTTCAGACAGGTGAAGCGGCGTCAAGGTGCATGACAGCAGTGGATTGGGAGACACTGGTAAAGCGGAACTGGGGGAATGGGGAGAGGGTCCAATGTAAGGTCACCTTACATATTTTCTGTAAAAGTTAACTTATACTTTAAACTATATTTGAACCTTAACCTCATAAAACAACCCATTCAGTTTAAAATAGAAATGCAAGGAGAAATGTTTGTGCATACTGTTTTATATATAGTACATATATATGTATATATATATACTGTATATTTACGTATATATATATATATATATATATATATATATATATATATATACTGCTCATATATAATATACTGTTTAAAAAAATATCTAAATACTCTTTTTTTTTTTTTTTATAAGTGATTACCTGAACTCTGTTCTCTCGTGCATTAGGGGCCTAAAGAACTTGGGTGGAGACTGCAGGGGACGTGTTGGCAGAAGGCAAAAAAAAGCAATACACTGATCTTCCCAGTGAGCAGTTATGCACAGGCACGTCAGCACAAGCCTGACCATTGGAGAATATGTAGTCTATTCACCCTAGTAGAATGCAAAGAAACAAACTGACCACATTAGGATTGATGAGTTTACATCCCTAGCATGGTCTGTTTGAAATACGAAAGCAGGGGGACAGGCAGGATCACCAGGTATTTCACACAAATAAGCAATGCAAAAAGAACAGGATACTTTTTAATGCAAGTACATGGTACCATAGACACATTTTAGAAATAGGAATTGTTGAGGTAACATATAGTTTAAACTTAGACCTTACCCAAAACCTTAATATTTAAAATTAAAATTTAAAATTTACTGCTTTTTGTTAACAATTTTTTTTTCTAGTTTTGGATACAGTGGGGAAAAACTAGAATTCATTAGTGTTTTACTGTTAACTGGGCCTCTGTTATAGGTTTCATCAGAATGCAAAGGAAAAATCTGCAACAGGGACATAGATAGAAAAACATATGACAGGATCTGGCAAATTTTTTTACACTACTAAAGAAAAGCATTTTCATTTCTGTCTGTGTTGATCTTGGATAGGGATGAGTCAAATGTATCCTTGTTCAATTTGACAAAGGTTTGGAGAGCATGACTGGATCTGAACCCCACTGGAGTAGAAAAGATTAATGGCCATTTTCTGGGCTAATTGGCACGGGATTGTCAAACAAAAGGGCACCGGGAGTTGAGCAGTGGTCTAGGGAATATGTACCAACACAAACAATTTAAATTTATTATTTAGTGGGAAAAGGGTCTTTTCAGATGGCTTAAAGGGGAACATTGACAATTCAAAAAACCTTCAAATCTCATGCTGAGGGGATTCCTTAAATATTTGAATAGTTTTACACAACATTATGATTCTCAGGGACAGCACCATCATTATCTTACCTAAAGCAGCAGTACCTAGCCAGCATATATAAGGATCTCAAGTCGGGCGTGGGGCAGTAAGAGGGAAAGATAAGTCATTTGTATTCAACCACTTTCCGACCGCCTAACTGGGAAAATACATCATGTCTTTGACGTTATTTACCGGGGTTATGACAGCTAGATGCCATAATGCCGATATTAATTTTCCCCTCAGTCCCTGATATTTTTGTAAAAGTGATCTGAGTGGCAGATTTGCCACTGGATCTCTTTTAGAATAGGTGGGAGGGGTCCCCCCCCCCCTCACCGCTTTCTGGTGGTTCCCGGGCTTACCTTGCTCCGGGAACCGATCTGGTGCTGGCGGCTGGTCACAGAGTTGAGCAAAGGAAAGAAGGCCTAGGAGGACCAGTGCAGCATCATGACGTCACTTCTGGTTCTGGCTCAAATGTAAACAAGGCCATTCTTTTTAAAGCAAAAGATCTTTTTTTTATCCTTTCCTTTTAAAGATAGAGGAGAGGTCTATAAGGCCCAAGATCTCTTCATAAAGAAGGACTTTAACATCTGAGAGAGTGGCACATCCTGGAACTGGAAGGCAAATTGCGCCGAAAACCTCCTCTCCCAAGTGAGCTGTCCAGGAGTGGCAGGAAGGAGAATGCTAGATAAATGCCTATGATGCCAAGTAAATCCACTACACCTCAGCATTCTCCATTGGGTCCCTAAAACATGCTCAAGACACCTCTTATTTACATGCATATACAGTAAATGTGATTTTATTCATCAACATTACTTTTCCCAATATGACAAAAGAAATACATTTTCACTGGAGTTCTTTTAGAGGACAGTGGGGTTGATTTACTAAAAAAGTAGAGAATGTTCCGTGTTAAAGTAATTCTTTACTTAACAAAGTAAATATTTACTTATCTCAGTGAAGAAAAAGTTGACTACTGATGACTTTAATTTTCAAAATGGTGGCACAGGAGCAGGAGCAGAAGCAACACAAGATTTTAAATATTAAGTCAAAGGTGCATGGACATTTGTATTTGTATCTATTTAGGTACATACTTTTAAAGCATTGCTTTTTAAAGGGAGGGGGGTCTGCTATTAAGGTGATTAAGTATTCTATATTTATGGTAAGTGATTTTTTACTTTGTATCACCTAATTTACTAAGATGAGCGAAAATGTATTTTAACTTAAAAATGTATTTAAGCAGTCATACTCAGCTCTATAAGTCAATCAGGATTACTGTGTCTACATTTGGTTAACCTAAGTTTACGCTATACTAATATTATTTGTATTGTTTTTATTATTATGTTATTATCCAGCAATATATTAGACAGTGCTATCCATAAAATAATATGGGGTGGGAACTGCAAATTTAGAGACAAAAACAGGTAAACAATATTACACAGAAGGCAAATAAGCTGGTTCTAAATGGGCTGACAAACTGTGCAATTTTTTTGTTACAATATTAGTGTTATATTTATTAACACAGTAATTTCAAGGACACTGCATGTTATTACAATATTAGTAATTTCTGCTTGACCATTTTTTATTCTTTAGATTACTCATATGAATGGCTGGTACCTTACAGAATTAAATAGTGACCTCAGGGTTTCCCCAACTAAAGATAGTTTTGATGGACCCCAACAACTGAGTATTAGAACTGCAGATGCACAAGCTCAGGGGCTGTTTGATATCGTCTATTGGTCTGCACCAGCTTCATATCTACAAAATAAAGTAAGTATCACTTTCATACAATATTTTTATTATTTGTTCTGGTTTCTTTCATCAGGCTTCTCAAACATATGGAAATGGATTTTTGGAAGAAACTGTTATTTAAAACTTCAAAGTAATATCCAATAATTCAAACCAATACATTGCATAAATTTGACAGCGAGTGGAAGTAAATGAAGGTGAATTGTAAGCATTTTAAACACAGAATTTGAAGAAAATATGTAGAAAATTATAAAGTGCTGTGACAGGGCAACAGTTATAGTAGTAAAAGATGTAACTGTAAGCTCTTTGGTCCCCAGTTCAAAATGGAACTAGAACCTCTTATTTTAAATCATATCCCCATATACCAAATTCCCAACATGATTTCAGAAATGCATTGGGACATTTCAGGCCAACTGAGTAATAATGTAATACTGCCTGGTCTTAGGAGGTTCCACAATGTAAGTAATCAGCATAATTATTGTCAATGATTACACTGGTTTCAGGGTGTTTATCATTAACTCTTCAGGATGTTGTGTATTTGTACCCTGGTGTTTTGTTTTCTTGGAATGTCCATGTCTTTGAACCTCCAAAATTAATATCTGTTTTAATGTTATGTTTAGTTTTGGTTATTTGTTATTGCAGCCTTTATTCAAAGAACCTATATTAGAGGAATATTTAAAATGCAAAAACAATTGATTTTATACCCCAGTTTAGCAGACATAGCATAGTGTATATTCTCAGTGTAGTGCAAAACTAGCTTCAGCATACCTATAGAGAAGCTAGAAATAATGTTTAAATTGTAAGAAACTATTTTCTTCATGAATTTCTTCCTAAATGTGAAACAGAGACAGGATCAAGCATTTTTGGCGTACTATGGGGTATATTTATCAAAGATTCAAAAAGAATTTTGTCCAATATTTGACAGAAATCCCACTTTTTATTGTGCAAGATTCAATGTTCCTCATTCCCTCACAGTTTTCCTAATTTCAAATAAAATTTGCCCATCAAAAGTAGCAATAAACAATATTTGCCCATGTGAAAATCTCACTGCTATAGGTAAGCATTTAACTGCGTGAAATCGATTCATTTAGGGTTTTTTTGTTGTGATTACCCGTCATTGGCCTCAGCTAATCACATGTCACAGATGGATTGTGGTTGACCCTGTCTGTAACTGTGATCACTGTGACCAATCACAGCTAACAACACAATTGTATACAATGGATGGCATTAACCGCTTGCCTACAGGGCACTTATACCCCCTTCCTGCCCAGGCAAATTTCCAGCTCTCAGCGCTGTCACACTTTGAATGACAATTGCGCGGTCATGCAGCACTGTACCCATATGAATACATTTTTTTTGTGACAGATAGAGCTTTATTTTGGTGGTATTTAATCACCTCTGGGTTTTTTATTTTTTCTTAAACAAACCAAAAACCGCTGAAAATATTTCTTAGTTTTTGTTGTAAAATTTTGTAAATAAGTGATTTTTCTCCTTCACTGATGTGCGATAATGAGGCTGCAGTGATGGGCACTGATAGGCTGCACTGATGGACACTGATAGGTGGCACTGATGGGCACTGATGAGGAGGCACTGGTAGGTGGCACTGATGGGCATTGACAGGCATCACTGATGGGCACTGAAAGGCAGCACTGATATATGGCACTGATATGCGGCACTGATAGGCGGCACTGACTGGCACTGTTAGGTGGCACTGACTGGAACTGTTAGGCGGCACTGAATGGCACTAATAGGAGGCACTGATGGGCACGGATAGGCAGCACTGATGCACACTGATAGGCTGCACTGACTGGTACTGATAGGTGGAACTGACTGGCACTGATAGGTGGCACTGATTGGCAGCACTGGTAGGTGGCACTAATTGGCATTGGTAGTTGGCACTGACTGGCACTGATGGGTGACACTGAAAGGCAGCTCAGATGGGCACTGATATGTGGCATTGATGTGCACTGGTAGGCACTGATATGTGGCATTGATGTGGCACTGGCACGTGGCACTGTTCAGCACTGGCAGCTGGCACTGATGGGCATTGACAGGTGGCACTTCTGGGGCCACACTGATCATCAGGGCACACTCCATGGAATACCGATTACCGGCTCTCCTCTCGAGCTGTCAGCGTGACAGCTCGTGAGGAGAGAAATGCCAATAACCGGCATTTCCCTGTTTACATGTGATCAGCTGTGATTGGACACAGCTGATCACATGAGCGAGCCGACATCTTCGGCTCTTTCCATAGATTGGTGATTCGCTGTGTCCGAGGGTACACTGCCGATCACTGCGCTGCGCACTCCCTGAGCCACGCATGCGCGGTGAGAATGGGAGGACATCATATGACGTCCTCCCAGAACGAGAGAACCACCTTGCGCCCATCATTGGACTATATGGCGGGCGGGAGGTGGTTAAAGGAAGCCATCAATTGTTTACAATTGTCATGTGACCTGCTATGATTGGTCACAGTGGTCACATGGCACCGGCGATGGGACCATACACAGATAGCTCATCAGCTGTGTCCTATGGCCCTGTGGGTGCACGCAAGTCGACGATGTCAGAAGACATCATATGAACTTGTATGCTGGTAGCAGGATCTTTGTGCTCACACAAGGAGTAAACAGACTACATTTCCCAGAAGAGCTGACAAAGGGATGGGAGCATATATATACAAAAGCCCAGGAACCATACAGGAAGGAAGTGGATGATGAGGGACAGAGAATGGGTGTGTGGAGAAGGCTGTGTGGGATGCTGGATCCAGGCTGGGTCAGGCCACAGAAGACAGAGAAAAGAGGGATCACAGACCACTGGTATTACTGACAAGAAGGACAGTCAATCCTGTGAGCAGGGGTATCATGGTGCTGCCATCAGCATTGCTCTTTAACAGAGGCACCAAGAGAACACAGGGGCCTTCCTATTGAGAAACTACCTGTTGCATTACGGAGATTACAGATTGGGTGAGAGAGTTCCATACCCTGATCATCACAAGTTACAAGTGACTGTGTTAAGTTCAAATGTCTCTTTCAGTTCAGTACACCTTACATCAACTGCTGTACAACACAAGGCCCGATTCAGTACACCTTACATCACAGCTTACAACACTAAGGCCCAGATTAGTGTCTCCTTGTAAGTCTCTTCTAACTCCCAAGGAAATTGCTTCTTCAGACTAGCCCGCCACCTTTGAAGAGGAGTCCACCTCTGCTAAAATCTGCTTCAGCTTATTTTTACAATTGTAGTAAATGTTTGCCTTCATCCTTTGTATTAAAGAGATTTCACTTAAATTCAACATCCAAGGAGGAGTTTTCCTTTTTCAGACTACACCATCTTGAGGGAAATTTGCTTTCACACAAAGAAAGGTCTGAACCTTACTGTGCACCAATAGGGCCCCACCCAGCATGCAGAAGATTGGATGCTTTTGCTAAAAGGGATACAAAAATGGGACATTATTGCTTTTCACCAAAAAATTAATTTCCAGAGTTAAACCCAGTCACCAGTAACTGAGAGCCCAAAAGTGAGACAGTTTGATAGTTCCTCCCAGCTCACTTGGGTAGAGACATCTCAGAGGTTGGGACTGATGTTATATTCTGATCCTGCAGGACATTTGGAAGTTGCTTAAAATTATACTGTGTTACAATATTTTGTTGAACCTTTTAGAGCATTTAACTCATATTGCATGCTCATCTATTAGTATCTTTTGTTGTGCGTGCACTCGTATTATTCTGACCTTAATATAACCAGAATACTTGTTCACCCTAGACTGTGTGCATTTATTTTATGGTTCCAAGCTAGGGGTTTCCCCTGGTCAAAGGTTTATGGTGGTGTCAGCAGGGGCTGAGCTTTCAAAGCAGGCTCAGGATAGACAGGGAACCCAAAAATACTCAACAGCCCTTAAGGGGGTAGCGCTACACAGATATTCCTTTAACCTATAAGTAAGCTTTATTATAAGATTATCTGTAAGTAAAAAATCACAAAGCAAATTTTTTGAATGGAGCCATAGTATAGAAATCAATGAAGCACAATTATATATTGTATGCTTTAGAAGCTTACCAAGCCTAAGTCTATATCTATGCAAGATACTCAGTCTCTAAGCTGTAAAAAATAATATGCTTGTCATGTGACCACTAATCCATGTGATTTTGGGTACATTTGTAAAGTAAAAAGAACAATGATCATTTTCAGAGCAGGGAAAAGTTTGTTTCTTAAGCTAGAAAAAATGTTTCTTTTTTATTCAAATTCTTTTAGCTGACAAATAAAACCTTGTTTTCTATTGATGAGCCATTTATGTTTTACATCTATACTGTCAGTTAACAAAGAGAATACCATTGTAGTTTTGCATAGATTGGACTTTCACCAACATCAATGAACAAAGAATTTCATACGCTCCTGCAGATATTTGTTATTATTTTATCTACATGTTCCCATTCACTGAATGGAATAATTGTAGCGCTATGTGCAAATTGTTTTAACATATTTTTTTCTAATATAATACCATGGTCCTTTGTTATTTTGCTTCAGCTTTTTCTGTTAGAATGAAACAATTTGACTTAATAAGTGAACCATATAAATTTTTGATACTTCAATAATACTGAAAGCTCTTACAAATTACCACTGTACATCTTAACTGTCATGTTATATCATGTGAATTATAGTCACAATGACATTTTTTACTCGAATGATTAAGAATCTCACCATCACAATAATTCTTTCAGGTTTGACTTGTTATTTATTTATATTGCATTTATTTCTGACAAGCAATGTAAAGTGAAATAGAAAGTATCTGAAGGAAAGACAACATTAAAGTCTTCGGGAACATTAAGACTATTAGTTCTTAATAATGGAATACTCTGCAGGAAGTAAAACGAGTACATAAATGTCACTTAATTGATATTTATTGTGCAAATTATTTTATGCAAGAATACTTGAAAATATATTAGGTCATGGTTATTAAAGAGATAAAAAGTCATAATGATGTCAGTGGGAGTTACAGTGAGATAACTTTTCTTTTTTGCCAGAATGGCAAAATTGCATTTATATTAATAAGCTAAGTACAAATGTAAAAAATTGAAAAGCACTAGCAATATCACTAGTGTTAATGATGAGTAAAGCAAACAAACAAAAACAATGTGGATGAGCAATAGTAATGATCACCAAGAAACAAAATTGTCTTTGTGACCTGGGAACAGTGGGGATCCTGTTCTGGGGGCAGGTTGACTCATGTTTGCTTTGCTTCTAGTGGCCTTTTGCAGACTATAGAGTGTAGCTGGAATATATAGTGAGTCTCAGCTCCAACTTTGTTCCCAGGGACTGTTCCTTTTTCTTTCCTCCCCTTTGATTGTCCATGAGTGGGGAGGCAGGATCTCATACTATCAGCATCAAGATGTCTTCCCATAGTTACATAGTTAGTCAGATTAAATGAAGATACTAGTCCATCTAGTTCCTGACACGCACTGAGTTTTTTCTACATTTAGATGAGTGGTACTTTTTCAATAAATTGCTTGGTTTACTGTTAGTTGGAGTTCTCACTTCCTTACCTGTTCCATGGAAGCTGTGTTCCAGCTTGAGTAAAGGCTGCACTCCGTTTATATTCATTAAAGCAGAACTTTACTCTCTCAATCAACATTGACTATTTTAACCCTTATGCTGTTAGCATTAGTAAATAGATTGTTTTAAAACCTGGTTTTCACATTTCATCAGTTTCTTCCTGGTTTCCATATCTAGGCAAATGATATCATACATCCCATGAGTCTTCAGGAGAGAAGAAAGGTTTTTTTCAGCTAAGCACACCCTCCTGCCGGCATGCCTGAGCTAAGGGCAGATGAATTCAAGGACGTAAATGTTACATGAATTATCTGCCCTTACTCAAGATGGACAGGGGTGTTTTTAAAAGTGATTTATCAGCAAAGGAAAGCATAGAGACATGAATGGATGGGTGAGTTTGCTTCGAATATCAAAAAATAATTAAAAAGTGTTTTTGGTTTATGGTGCTCAGATGCAATGTAGTTCCACTTTAAAGACTGTGTTCCTGTCAGAAGGATCAAAGGCTGCATTCCTGTCCCTTAAACAAGTGTATACCAGGGTTCCACCTCCACTGCCTGTCTTCCACTTACCTTCAGAACTTTAGACCACTATTGCATTTGTGGACTCTTGCATTTATCATTCTATTTTTTTCAATTTAATTTCTTAGTGATCATTATTATTGCACATTCCCATGGTTGTGTTGGTCTGCTTTACTCATCATTGTCACTAGTGATATTTTCAATTTTTTTTTTTTTTTTTGGACTATACCAGACTCCATTGGTGATTTCTAGCAACATTTTCTAGTATTTTAGCTTGCCAGAAGGTAGGAATGGGCTTTAAAGAAAATGCAGTACATAGCTGCATAAATGTAAATGTGAGTGTTTTCTATTTGTATAAAAATGCATGTAGTCATCATTTTGAATATTATATACTGCACATGCCAGGATATCTATTAAAGTAAGCTTATTTCAAGAATGTACACATTAAAGTATATACATATTCTGAACAAGCCATATAAACACTTTACAGCAACATTCATCTCTGTAACTATAGGCATTGCGGAGACATCTGTCTTCAAAATTTATAGCAGAATCACTGAAATTACAGTTACTTAACGAGCAGACTTTTTGCAGCCTACTAATAGAAACACACAACAGTCACTTGTAAGCTGTTAAAAAAAACACTAAAACCTGACTTTAAAAACTTTGATCTGATCCTTAGAGCTCTTTTCCTGCTTGTTAAGAATATGTAAACATTTTAATGTTTATAGTCTGAGCACGGGTGGACCTTAATGAGGACCTTATCTGTGGAAGCTGTGTCCCAAAAAAGACAGAGGGCAAAGGACTAATTACCAGTATTGCCTGTGATCTCAATGCAGCTGATATTTTCTGTATTACTGATTGATCATACTTTGTTACATGCTGTCTCTGTGTGGAAGTGGCCATCTTGTTGAGAGGCTTGGCTTTTCTTCCTCATGTCAGAGCCCCGATGACTGATGGTCTGATGACTGATGGATGAACAATCAATTAGCAGCAGAAAAATTGTAGAAAGCATATATGGAACAAATGAAACAAAAGCAGGGGGATTCAACCACTGCAGGCTCTCAGGTATACTTGTCTCCCATGTAAGAATAGTAAGCAGAAAGTGTGGCTAGTGCACTGCTATTTTTCAGAAGAAATTCAAGATCAGAGGTAGA